AGTTCATTCAAGTTTGCTCATCCAAAGATGAGCAGTCGAGTTCAGCTTCCAGATGAGTCGGTGAGAGTCCGACGAAATAGTCTGGCACAATCGTCTTCCCCCCCCCCTTCATCTTCCTATTCTGCGCCTGCACCCGGGCGCCATAAGCGCCAGGTTCATGCGCTACAACGCTTTGTTGCCCGAACGGGCGTTGAGCTTAGAAAACAAATAAAAAAAATATAAAATATATATATATATATATAAATAACAATAATAAAAAAAAGTAAAACAAAACTAGTTTTCCTGAAGTTGGCTGTTGGGGCACAGCCCCCTGATGAGTCGGTGCGAACCCGACGAAAGGGCCAGGTATCGGCCTCGCTGTACTACTCTGGAAGGGCACGAAAGACAAAAATCATGCCATTGTATCTTTCCATGTTCTAGCAGAAGATTCATTCTCGTTTTGAACCTTCGAAAGTAGCAGCCAGGTCCATACATCCGTTCATTCGAAACGAACGGTTACAAATAACCAAAAAAAAAAAAAGAAAAAAAAAAAAAAATCTAAACAAAATCTAAAGAAAGAAAATCTAAAGAAAAGAAACCTAAGAAAAGAAAAAGAAAGAACTCACCTTGTTGTTGCAATAGTCGCCCGTTTTCACGGGCGCTGTCGAATGCATTGGGGTTGTCAATGCCCCAGTCACTCATGAGGGCGCCATGTGGCGCTTTGTCCCTTTGTTAGTTTTAGTTTTTATATTTTTATTATTATTATTATTATTATTATTATTATTTTTAGGTTTCCCGTTGGTGTATGCCAACGGTCGTACTGCGTTAGTGGGTTCACCCACGAACTGTTGAAAATGTAGATCCGAGTTCGAGTCCAGATGGACTCGAAAAACAAATTTGGACTATTTCTCGATTTATGCGTGTCATTCTTGCGCATGGGTCATTCTACCACCGCGCGGCCAATCTCGGCCGTGTGATCCTTGTGATCACGCGGGCGAGATCGACCGCGCTTTACAAAATCAGCAGCTCCAAAAGGAGCTGAGCCCAATAGGCAGGTCTTTCAGGTTCGATCCCAGCATCAGCCGGGTGAGAGTCGAATGCATTATCCTACTAGGCTAGCTCTTGTTTTCACATTAAACAGGACCTGCTCTTCAATGTGAAGAGCTAGCCCAGGTGACTTTCCCTCAGCTTGCAGCCTTGCAGGCTTCGCCCGTAAATGGCCTAGCAGGCCTGCCCCGACTGTGGCCTAGCAGGGCGGCCCTGCCTGTGGCCTGCCGGCTTACCTGCCTGTGACCTACCCTTACCGGTTAGCCGTGTGATCGCGGCTTGGTCGGCCATCGAACCGGGTAAGCCTTGGCATTTGCCTATCGGCCCCCAGGCTCAAAGTCAGACCCCGCGGCCCCAGAAAAAAACGGAAGCTTCCTACACCTCCTGCGTCGTGGCCCTATACCCTGGCGCAACCCTCTTTTAAGCCCATTGAGGCTCTGAATCGCGTGGCTTAGCAGCCGCACGACATTACTTTAGGTAGACTAGGCTTGGTTTTAACATTTCTTTATCCGCACGTTCCTGCGGCTTCGACAGAAGCGTAGCCTTTGTCGTTCACACCCGATACCCCCGGACGTCACATGCGTCCGGACTAAAGTCAGAAAACTCTTAGTTTCTCAGTCATAGGTCAGGTCTGAATAAACGTTTGACAAACGTCAGTCTCATCAAGTATTTCAATTCAACGCAAGAGTCGGACAGCGTCCGACGTTCAAAAACACTGGCAAATACCCTTGTCAGGGTTTTTGCCCCCACAACAATCCCAACCCCCATTGAACGACGTCCCCGTCTTTCACCCTATATTAATTAATTATATAGGGCTCTCTGGATTCTTACGAAACTCTTTTTAACAAAATTTCTTCCAATCGAAAATAAGCCGAAACTTATAACCAAAATCCAAGTTATTGCCTCGGTAATCTAAAATTCAATCATCCTTGATTGGAATGATACCAGATGTAGCCTCTGGCAAGCCTTTCATCAAAACCTGAATTTATACCGGTTCAAGTTCTGGAATCACTAAAATATTCAAGAAACTTTGTCTAAATAGTCCCAGCATCATTCCACTAGTGGCAACTCCAAACATTATTTAGTCTCTCAGAATGGTACCGGAAATAGTCTCCGGCTAGCCTTCAAAACCTCAGTCGGCTAATATTTACATTTATCTAAAAAAGGTCAGGTTTAACCCCCTAACGAGTATTTCAAAATAAATAACCTTCTGAGCGGCCCAGACAGAATGTGAACCAACCATTCATGAGAGAAACCATTTATCAAAAGTTCTTGTCCAGGTTTTGTATCCCATTCCAATTACGAGTTATCACATATGACATTTTTCATGCGTGCTTTGTGATATGCGTCGAGGAGTGGTGTAATCCTCAAGGGATAACATCTCGACGTCAAGCCCCGCTTTAGACTCGAGCCTCACCACCTTCCCTCCAATTCCAGTATCATATGTTTGCCAGTGCCCTACCTGCAAGGTTGAACTACCCGTTCTCTATGACCTAGGCTGGTCAGACCCGGGCATAGAGGCGAGGCGACCCTATTCGTCACAAGGTCAAGGTGACCACTCCTTCCCCCATAACGAACGACAGTCGTCACCCTTACAAGCAAGATTCCAACAATTACAATAATACCTTCCTCCCTTTTAATCATAGTGTAGCCACCCTCCTTAAAAAAGGAAAAGTGACAGCATCCCACTATGGACCAGGAACAAGTTCCAGCGTAGGCCTCACTACCACCAACGGAGCTCACTGCATCAGGACTCATCATAACATGATAACTTAAAAAACATTACGAAACTTCTAGGCTATGATAAATAATTGAATTACATGCTTTGTGAATAACTCATAGTTATGCCACAAACCATATAACGCAAATTACATATCATTTTCCTATAACTTTTTTTTTACAACGAGAATATACATCAAATAACAACATACATTTTTACAGAGAGTTTCATAACATTCCAGTCCAAAAATATTCATAAATTTGCATTGCATCACATTTCATCGAAAAAGTAACAATAAATCATTCAAATTTAGGAATCAACAATTTTTCGATCCAAAATCACAATATAATTCCACGAACAGGAGTCGTAGAATTTATTAATTATACAAAAACATGGAACCATAGGTCCCAGAATTAAAATCAAATCCCAAGAGTCCAAAATTATAATTCCCTTGTCTGTCCTCAGAACCAGTCAACAATTAGTGATCCCAAAAGAAATAAAAGAGGAAAAACAAGTTCTAAAAAAAAGAAATCTAAAAAAAAAAAAAACCTTTTCTAAGTCCTTCGAATAAATTTTCAAATGCGATCCCGACACCCAATTTCTACCTCGAGATCAATCCAACTCTTCGATCTCATAAGCCCCATGCTCAAATTTCCTGATAATACGATAGGGCCCCAACCATCGACTGTCCAATTTTCGAGACCATTGTTTTTCCAAGGACGAATCATAGAGAAGTACGATATCCCCTACTTCCAAAGGTTCCTTACGAACGCGAGGCCCCTTATCCCATCTTTCCTTGTCGGTCTGCCTACTCTCTGAAGTAGAGGCAGCGGCCTCCTCAATCCTTTCCTCAGTGATCATCACTTGTCTTGCCCTCAATTCCAACAACTCCTCCGTTGAAAGCTTCATTTCCACATCCTACTTTCTCCAAGTGGTAAGAAAACTTTCGATCGGAAAAGTTGCATGACGCCCAAACCACAATGTGACTGGAGCGTATCCAATTGTCCGCTTTATGGTGACATTCTCAACAAAGAATGTCGTTCTCAGATATATCGGTCACCTTGACGGATCATCTCCGCACCATTTTGCCAACAAATTTGTTAGAGTGGCATGTCCACGTTCAACTGGCGCATTGGCCCGGGGATGTGCCCTTGTAGTATAGCTAAAGCTTACTCTAAGTTTTTTCAGAAGCGCCTGCACCTCCCCAGCCCAAAACTCACCACCTCGATCCATGACAATTTCCCTGACAAATGGGTACCGAAGATAATATTCCTCAATGCATTCTGCTAAAACATGTCCAGCACGATCGCGAATGGCACAGCCATCAACGAACCCAACCAGATTATCTCTTACGTTGAAGATATATCTGTACCTATTTATCCCAGGTGGCATGACCAACAGATCAAGGTGTACTACTGCTCCTGGCTCAGCGACATAGCGTGAATTAAGAGGTTCAACAAAACGCAGATTAGATCGTTTTTGGCAAGGAAGATAAGAGTTACAAAAGTCATTTACCATCTTGTTCATTCCTTCTCAAAAATAAAGATGTTGAATCTTTTTCAAAGTGACTCGAGACGATCTATGTCCGCCTGCGACCCCATCATGCGAAGCTGCAATCACATCAAGTTGTCGCGTAACCCCACATACCACTCTTCTTGGAATATCATCGTTGGATTTCTTGAAAAGATGACCATATCTTACAACAAAATCCTTACTTTTCTGACGAACAACTGGATCCACTTCATCCTCCCTCAACTCACCATTCAACCACATTCCCATTAATTTATATTCCCCATCATACTCTCCTTCTCTGAAAGCTTCTCTGATTTCACTGCCTTCTGCTTCTTCATTCATCATTTTCAGGCGGTCCTCGTGAATTAGAGAATTCACAAGGAATGACATATCTCCAGTGTTCCTGAAAGTATTATCAGCCTGCTCATGCCCATACTCAATCGTCAGCGGTTCTTTGATGAGCTCGACTTCATCAGACAAAGCCAAGTTCATCATTTGCTCAGATGTTCTTTCACCCCATGGGTCTTCCTCAATGAACGGCTCCCCAATCACAAACTCTGATCGCACATGATGGAAACAAGGAGTATTCCAGATGGTTTTCCAATGCCGGGTTGTTGCATCTGCCAAATAATTGTATGAGTAAATACTCAACTGTGACTCTTCTCCTTCGAGGAATCCATCAACAGGAACTGAATCCTCAGCCTGATCCGTCGATGAGTCCCAATCAACATGACTCAATCCATCTGCTCGATTCTGAGTGTCTGAAATGCGCTCAATCTCAAAATTGAACATCCAAATATACGTCAGTCATCGAGCAATGGTTGGACCAGAAGGAGAATAGTTCTTCAATGATTGAGCTAGAGCCGTAGGATCAACTCGCAGAATGAACCGCCTGCCAAATACATAATTCCTGAAAACACGCAGACAGTGAAGCACAGCGAGAGTTTCCTTCTTGAACTGGGAATAGTTTCGCTCAGTAATATTCAGAGTTTTGCTCTCGAACCTCAATGGTCGTTCTCGTCCTTCCCCATCCTTTTGGACTAAAACTCCTCCCAAAGCGGTAAGACCTGCATCGGTCTCGATGATGAAAGGACGGCCTTCAGCATCATCAAAGCAAGGAACTCCCAGAATCAGGCCGCCTTCTCGAAACTCAGCTTTAATATCCTCAACGGTTGCCTGCTGCTTCGGTCCCCACTCCCAGACCAGGTTCTTGCATGCTAACTTCCGCAAGTGTTGCACCCTTGCTACGAATCTGCGGATAAAAATACGCCAAAATCCGCAAGTCCCGAGAAAACTCCGAATGTCGGTAATAGATCTGAAGGGAGTCGGCCACTCCAAAATCTTATTCGTTTTCTGGGCATCTGGCCGACGACCCTTCTCATCACAAAGGAAACTCAGTATTACCGCCTTCCTCATACCATGCCTCGATTTAACCTCACTAGCAGTGAGGTTATATTCCTTCAGTTTACTCAGAAGCTTTTCCACATTGCTGATGTGTTCCCACAGGAACTTTCGAACGCCGGGTAACACTTCAGTCTCGTTCTTGACTCGAGGTCCTGGGATAGCCAAATCATCAATATATGGAGAAGTCACGTCTGGACAAAGCAGCTGCATGACTCTCATCATATATCTCTGCACAATTGCCACGACATTTGTCCAACCTTGCGGAGCCGCGCACATATGAAGCAGTCCCCGAGGCGTATGCATCGCCGTCATAGGTCGATCCGCTGTGTACTGCGGGAACTGATCATACCCAGAATATAAATCAATTAGGGTGATGATGGGCCTGCCTGCACAAGATTTCGAGAGTTGATTGGCGTTCGGAAGTCCGCCCGCATCTCGGACTGTTACAGAATTCAACTTCTGCAGGTCCTGAACCTATCGCAAAACACCGTTCGGCTTGATAAAGCAGAACCAAGGAGACGCATACGGCCCATACGAATAGTCTGCCACTTTGGTCCAAATCTTACCATCAAGATAATTTACCACCTTCCGGTGATCGTCTGGATTCGGATATCGTGGGCCTCTCACATTCCATGGCTCATGCGGTACCGTATGAATCCGGATCATTGGAATCATATCGACGTCCAGCCGTCCACGCTCATCATCATCAAAAGCATAAGCAAGATGAACTTTCTTCATAACGTCGATAAAGAATTGAATTTCCTCCTTAGTAAGAAGGTCATCCTCTTCAATGATCATCTCCTTGACCCCGTCTTCTGTCAATCGACACGGCCCCTTCTCACCTTTTTCGTTCAACGTTCTAATCCACTCGCGTTCTTCCTTATAATACACTTCCTTTTCCTGAGTGATCAGAACTGGCACTGGTCGTGCCTTTTCTCTTACTTTCTTATACTTCCTCTTGGACCCAATGTTGAGCTTCCGTCCCCTAAAAAAGATTCTTGCCTGGCTGATGGCAGTGATTCCTCCATGCAAGATTCATTTGACCGATAAACAAGATGCATGGTTCCTGCACCTTCCTTGTCAACCACAACTTCCATCAGGGTCTGTACCAGGCTCGGATCAATTGTAGGATAGCTTGCTGCAAATCGACTGCCTGTGAGATACTTAGTAATGTCAACGAAAACTCCTTAGGATCCCTTTCTTCATCGATCGCCTTTTTCTCCCTCCTCAACTTCTCAGACTCTAAGAAGGTATATGATTCGGGATTCAACCAGTTCCTTGAATTTGCCGGTCCGGTATTCGCGCACTTTACCACTTCATAATAGCCGCAAACCGGATTGCACAAAGCTACAAACATGGTGTCGTCATGCTTGTTGAAGATTATGCTCTCTGTGCGACATTGAAAGGACCTTCCCAAAAACACTTTGTGTTCAACCTTTGGCAATATATAAAAATATGATCTCGCTTTTACCTTCCCAACTGTGACCATTACGCCACTAGTCATACCGCAAAATGGCGTTGCCCCGCTGACTCCAATCAAAAATCCAAAGTCATTGCGATTGATCTGAACCCCAACTTCAATCACATGTTTCTCTCTCATAATGTTTATCGCGGCTCCGTCATCTACGAGAGCAGAGAACTCTCCACGGCCGATTTGAACTTTTATGAGACCTGTGGCCACGCATCGCCAGTCCATCTTCGCGCCAGGAGACGCCCAGTTAGCTTCTGGAGGGATGATCTTGCTCAGCTTGACTGTTATGACTTTCTTCCGAGTCATGCGCTGCTTAAATTCCTCGTGGAGCTTCAGCGATATTGCAAGAATCTTCTTCAGGGTAACCAGATCACGCTGACTTTCCAGAATACGATCCACCAGCTGTTCAAAATCAATCCCTTGTTCAATAGGGATTGAGTACACGTTCTTCTTTTTGCGAGGTTCTTCTTCCTCGACCTAGGTCTTTCCTGCTTCCGATGCCCTTTCCATAACTCTCTCCTTTGCTAGCAGTTCATCTTCTGCTCGCAATCTTTCATCCTCCTCATCATCATCCCCTTCTTCCACCTGAATAGGTTCTTTTTCCTGAGGTTCCTTTGAACTTTCTCCTGGTGCAGGTTGCGATTGTGAGGTCTTTCTTCCTTTCCTCGTTTGCACCATGACGGTTGGCATCCCTCGCTTGAGTACAGGTCTGGACATCATCATTGGTCGTGTCATCGGCGTTGCTTCAGGTGCCGAAGCGGCCGCAGGTGCTGACCCATCCCGACCTTCGTTCCCCCATCCACCAAAAGGGAACACATTAGGAAGATTCGGCCAGACTTCTTCCATGTCAACACATAATTGAACAATGGAATGTCGACATTTGACCAGTTTCTTGGTCACTTATCGCGCCCGATGAGCAATGTCTTCTTTCCTTTTCTCCAACTTTTTTTCGTCACACCCACTAATCTCCAGAGAAGTCATTGTTTCTTCTAACTCAAAAAGGTTTGCTTCTTCAGGAGAAGCTAACCGGAATGTAGCCGGAAGAGGACGGTCCATCCGTCGAAAAGCCTCTTTTCTCATTCCTCCTTCAATATCCTGATCGATGAGATTTTCCTCGAAGTCAAAGACTTCTCCTCGAATCGTCGTGAAGACGATATGGTCTTTCTCGTCCTTTACGAGAATCTGGCAGAAACGAATAACATGTCTCTTCATATCGCAATATTTGCAGACGTATTCCTGCCAGTTCCCACGCCCGCCTCCATTTCCGCGGCCTCTACCACGGCCTCGACCACCCTGTGGTTGAGTCTGTTGACCTTGATTTTGTTGTCCTTGGTCAACCTGTCGCTCTCCGCTTCCATTTCCTCCGTTTTTACTACTTTCTCCTTGTTTACGAGAAGTACCTTGCCCTCCTCGTATCTGGTTCAAGGCTTTCCTCTCAACCTTGGTCAACTTACGAGGGGGTTCCTTTTCCTCCTCGCTCTCACTCTCACTGCTACTCTCTTCAGTGACAGGCTTCTTCCTTTTTATCTTCCCAGTTTTCGCCTTCGCCATCATCACTTGAAGTTTTAACCGTTCCTCCTTCATACTGCTCATCATTTCCCTCATGTCAGATAAGGTCTTATAGATCTCCTTGTCCTTGTTCGTCCCCAACTGTAACCTCTCCCGATTCTCCATCTGCTGTTTCAGCAGCCGATAGAGGATCTGGTCGAAGTCCCCGACCAATAAATTCTCTCGAATTTTTTGTCAATCATACCTTTCTTTCATGTCTTTCACCAACTTTAGTTGTTCCACCTCCGTGAAAGTATCCAGGAAGATGAGGCAACGATCTTTATCTGGAAGGTCAGGAACTAATTTTGCCACCCGCTCGAATTCAGTAAGGAACTGTTTTGTTGTACCAAAGCTTTTCCGACTAACCTTCCTCAAATCGGTCAAGTTCAACAGTTGATCGCTCAACTGGTACTTTTATAGCAGCTTCCGTTTGAATTTTGCCCAGTCCACCGAATCTTGTACCAATTCCTCCACCTCTTCCTTGTACTGGATCTTGCAGTATCTCTTCACCATTCACAACATCTTTTCATTCGACCATTCGCAGCAACTTCCCAATTGCTCCAACTTTTCTTCCCATCCCGAGGCGTTGTTACCATCAAACAATGAAACGTCAACCTTCGGGATTTGATCCTTCTGGGACTGCTGAATAATTCTTGCAAGCTCCCGAATGTCATTGCTTCTCCCATGCTGATTGTCGTTATTACCAACCATCTTGACTGAAGAAAAACAGCAACATAGTAACAGAAATCAGTCAATTCTTATAAATAATATCTCATAATTTTTGGATCAAATTACTGACTTTTTCTTAGGTCAAACAAGAAAAAGAAAATAACTTTTTACTCCATTAATCACCCAAGTGTCGTTCCGCTAGGGACAACGATAGTTTGCCGTTATTCCCGGCAACGACGCCACCTGTCGAGCGCATCGGCCCTCGTGTGAACGAGGACCCTCCCGGCCATGTCACGGAGGAGAAAAAACAAAAAGGGAAACAACTCGGGAACGATGCATACTGTTTCGTGAACCGCTAAACGGACGCAGTTACTTCGCTGCTTCCCCGCTCTAGTCGGGTGCGCCAGCTATACATCTCACGGTCCCCTACGAGAAGACACGTACCCGTGGGGCATAAGCTTGCATCCTTAAGGGGCTGTCACTACCCTTAGGGGTGTATCCCTATCGAGCTACTGATCCACGTGCGAAGGCTTTTAAATGCAATCGCGGAGGTAAATCGGCCGATGGCGTTTGCTCGTCTCGCTGCAGTATTGGAATTGTTTGACCAAACGCCGAATGAACCCGAGCGTCGTTCATTCCCGGGGGCGCTGATCTCCCAAATACGAAGCGTACGCCGGTCGACTTGGACAGTCTCAACCAAACGTGAAAACAATCCTTAGTCCCTAACAATCAAACAACAAAAATCCCCATACCTTAAAACAAAATCACACAATCCAAAATCGTTGACTTGATGA